TCTCTCTCTCTCTCTCTCTCTCTCTCTCTCTCTCTCTGTAAAATTATATACTGCAGGATGATTTACTTTTATGTACTGTCCTGATGTGAAATATATTATTTAGTATCAGTTTCATGAGAGTATTCTACAACAGAGCTACTTGTTAGATGCATCTGCCAAAACAAAAGCAATTTAACAAGCAGTTAGAAGGTTGTGACATATAACACAAAAACTTGTTCTTTAAATGGCAAATAGACTGCAATTTTACACAAATCACATTTAGCTGTGATAATAAGGGGCAGTGGGATCATACCCGCAGCTTTCCAATTATTAGAGGACTGCTTATTATAACGTTTTTATCTAACAGCCAACATGGTGATCTCATTTCTAGTACCGGTATATATTAAAATCACAAGGTCATATCAGCTTAATTTGAAATAAAACTTAAACATAAAAATATATTTCAATGGATGAATGTATTTTTTACAACAGACAGGCTTCAGATGCAAACATTAAAATACTTCATTGCAATTCGGCAGGTAATTTTACCCTAACGACAAACCAAAGGAGATTAAAGATTGTATTAACTGTAAAACATAAGAACAATGATCGTTTAGGATGAAAAACTATACAAAAGGAGCTGAATCAGAAGTTACAAAAAGCAAAAGAACATCATAAGAAGGTTAATGAGGACAAACTGATATCCATGAACTCAAAAGACTTGTGGAACTCTTTGAAAATAGCTGCCAACATGAAACCCACTGAAAAATCGATCTGTGCTGTGGATGAATTGTCTAAAGCAAATGAACTGAATACTTTCTATGGACAGTTTGATAATTATGACTGTTCTGCTGAACATGACACAATACTTTCTGATGTGGTCCCACAGGAGGGGGACAGAATTGAGTTAGATCATGTCACTGTTGATAAGGTATTCAAGCAGGTTAATGTTAATAAGGCAACGGGTCCAGATGGTATTTCTCCATTTTTATTAGGAAGTTTTGCAGATGAATTGACTCATGCATGGAGGCCAATTTTTCAGAGATCTGTTGATGCTCATACTGTACCATCTCTGTGGAAAAAAGCAATAATTACACCTGTTGCCAAAAAAAAAAACGTCCACAGGAGAACAAAGATTTTAGACCCATCCCTTTAACATCTGTTGTGATGAAGTGTCTTGAAAAACTGGTGGAAAATTATCTGCGATCTGATGTGGGCCCACAACTGGATCCTTACCAGTTTGCTTATAAATGTAAGAGAGGCACTGATGATGCTTGCAATACCATAGTGCATCTAGTGGCTAAACACCTAGAAAACCCCAAGGCCTATGCTAGAGTGCTCTTTGTAGATTTTAGTTCTGCTTTTAATACTCTCCAGCCTCATGTCCTTCTGACTAAAATGAAACAAATGAATGTCAACCCAAATATCATTAGATGGTTTCACTCATTTCTTATTAACCGTTCCCAGCAGGTCCAGGTGAACAGGACTTTATCAAATGCTCTCACCATCAGTACAGGCGCCCCCCAGGGATGTTTCAGCTCACCTGTCCTGTTCACTATATGTGTAAACCAACAACTGCTGTACCAAACAACTATGTGTTTAAATTTTCTGATGACACAGCTATTCTCTGCCTCATTTCAGATACATGACATTTAAGCAGATCAAAACTTTTGTTCAGTGGTGTGAGGAACACTTTCTGACTCTTAATGTCCAAAAAAACCCAGGAAATGATTTTTGACCCAAAGGCAGTTGGAGACCACTCACCAGTGGTCATCCACAATCAAGTAATTGCCCAGGTAGATTCCTATAAATATCTTGGAATACAAATAGACAACAAACTTTCGTGGACTGGTCAGGTTGAATATGCCTGCAACAGGATCCAGCAGCGATTACATTTCTTGCGCAGGTTGAGAGCCTTTGGTGTCAGTCAGAAAGTGATGCTGCTATTTTACCATGCAGTAATAGAGAGCATCATTAGGTATGGCATTTCCGCCTGGTTTGGTTACGTGTCTGTCCATACGAAGGCCAAACTCATCTGTCTTACACAAAAAGCTATGAAGTTGATGGGAGTCAAGCAGCATCCCTCACTTCAGACCATTTTCAATGAAACAATAACAAAACAGGCCCAGAAAATCATCTCAGACCCCATTCATATTCTTTATCCAGAGTACCAGTTTCTTCCTTCAGGTCAGCATCTCAGAGAACCCACATGTAGAAACAGTAACCATGAGTTCTGATTTTAAGCAATGATGTTTATGATTTTAAATTGTACCGACATGCTTCTTTTATGTACTATCTCTCTTGAAATGTATTATTCTAAATATGTGTTTTATGCGAGGATGTAAAGTGTTTGTGTTGTGGGTTGTTTGACCTGTGTAGCAGTCAGGTTCTGTACCCAAGACAAATTTCCTTCGGGACAATAAAGTTATTCTTATATTATCTTTATCTTAAATGGTAGTTCACATGGAAACTATTTTTTTTATTATTCTGGAAGAAATGTTATTTTTAGTCTCATCAGAAGTGTCCCAGGCTGCTCCTGAAGTGCTACAGTTAGCTGCTGCTGTCACTATTTGCATTTGCAAAAACAAACAATGCAGTATAAATAAATTCCATTCACGAAAACCACAATAGAAATTTTGAGACTGGAGTTATTTTAAGACCACAGAGGTCCACTTTGGTCATGACTCTGCTCTGACTAGCCATTAGATCATCAATTGGACAGAATCAAACTCTCTTTCCTTAAATTGAGTTTGTTCAGAAAATTATTTACAAGTAAGATAATATGTATTCATGACCTTTCAGCTGAAGATGTGTACTAATCCCTTTAAATGATGTGTAATACCAGTGACTTGGCAAAAGAAAACCAAGTGGAAACATAGAAAATGTATGACTGAGCTCTCTTCTTTCTTTGGTCTTATTTCAAATGATCAAATGTCGAAAAAACTGCACTGGATAGTAGAGACTTTAGTGCTGGTTTTACCTGTTTTATCTGAACCAGTTTTTCTGTTTAAGTTCCTTAGAGTTTCTGCAGGTGCTAAAGAGGGGCTAAAGAGGGGCTAAAGTGGGCTAAAGTGGGCTAAGTATTAAGTGTGCTATGCATCCTTCGTTTCTACAGTTCTTAACACTCAGAACTCTGACTTTTGCAACAACCACCAATAGTGAACATATGCTATTTTGCCATTCAAATAAACAATATACAAACATTACATACTATGTATAGAGTACAATCAGAGTATATTTAATATCACCAGACTGTTGAATATTTATGACTTCAATTAAAGTGTTAACCTGTCATTTAGTTGAAACTTAGAAAATGTCAACTATGTGATACTATGAAGAATAAAACTTGTCTGCTGATATTGGCTAACTACTGTATATTCTCAACAAGTCAGGCTTGTCTAATAGAAACCTAAAATCTCATCTGAGTTTGCTTCTGATTTATACCATATGTTGTTGACAAGAAGTGCCAGGTCGCTTCTTCAACTGTCCCCATTGCCGTAGTTCTTCAAACGATGCAAACAAGAACGTTGTGTTTTGTTATAAAATGCCACAACAACCTGTTGAGAGAGCTGCATGTGGAAACTTGAGCCAAACACCTCACTCCTTCATTTCAAGATTGTAGGAGTGTGATCCTAGTGTCACCTGGGATGGACAAGCAATCTTATGCCTCATCACCCTGCCGACGATGCTTATGACAACTTTCATCAACAGAGACCAACATCAGATCAAGCTGCAGAGATTGAACAAAGGGCCTAATGGTGCCAGGTTCTGAATCTGCTTTTTGCTGCAGGACAGACGAATGGGTTAAAGGTCAACCTGCTGCGAGCTGGAATGTAACCACAAACCCTCCTTTCTGCACAACTATCGGCCTTGCTGGAGGAACTGTGGCCATAAATCCTAAAAACTGTCACCTTCCCCCACTGAGACAAAACCACTGTTATAATTGGTTGAAACCTGAGTATCTTCTCTTCACATAAAGAAAAGAGGAGGAGTGAGGGAATTAATATTCATAAATACAGTATGTTAAAATGGAAACAGTATATATTTTCCTGTTGGACCCACGAGGGTTAGAAGTTCTTGGGGCGTCTGACTAAATCCAACCCTCTGTGGAATATTAGATTTATTTTGTAGTTTTGACTTCTTTATTTTTGATTTTCTGAATATAAGGAATGTAAACACCTTATAAGTATTATCCTGTTTTTATATTTTTCATTTTAATAAACTGTTTGCCAAAAAAGGCGCAAAACCACTCCTCTGGTGTCTATCTGAGTCCTTGGTAAGTTCATTTTTCCTGTATCATCTGCTGGTTTTATTAAGTCTTAATTGCGCACTTGTCTGAGATCATCGGGATGTCCGGGTACCGGGTACCGGGTACCCCCCCCCCCCCCCCCCCC